AAAAGCCCCGTCGGTGTGGCTCGCGGCTGAGCACCGACCCAGGATCCGGGAGCTGGTGGTTTGCCTCTCATGGGGGCACAGGCCGGGTGCAGGCACCTCGAACCCCAGCAGGGGGCGTGCGGGAGGCAGATCCATGCCCCTCATCACTGGTGCTTCTCTCTCCCTTCCTCTCTCCGAAATCAATAAAGACACTTTTTTTAAAAAAAGGAAAAGAAAAAACTCTGTCCTTAAAAGAGAATAAACACCAGCAATCTCACTCCTATATCCAAGGAACATGAAAGCACACATCGGTACAAAGTTGTAATTACACCCCCAAGTTCACAGCAGCAGCGTTTCCAACAGCCAAAGGCAGAAACCACCCAAATGCCCACCGACTGACGAATGGACAAACACAACGTGGCGTATGAGTACAATGCAGTGTCATCTGCAATGAAAGAAACGACGCACTGATGCTCCGAAAGAGACGAGCCTTGAGGACCCCGGCTGGGGGAAGGAGCCGACCACGGGGACCCTCAGTGTAACTCAATCCCCGTGCAAGGTCCCACGAGGCCAACGCAGACACAGCAGCGTGAAACCAGACCACGCCCCATGCACAAAAATTAACTCAAATGGACTGAAGACTTGATCGCAAGCTCTGAAACCATAAAACAGAGGAAAATGTGGGCACCAAGCTCCATGACACTGGTCTTCGAGGTGGGGACAAGCAACTGTGAGACTCCTGTGACCCCAACATCTACATGGGAGGAAAGCCATGGGCGTCTGACACTCCCAAGACCTGAGAACCCCAAAACAAGCAGCATTCGCTGGCAAGAATGGCGGGACAACTGTTGGCGCAGGCCAACAGCAGCTGAGCACAGGGGCCTGCAGTGGGGCCCGAGTCCCCTGGAGCAGGGAGACCCCTCGGAGTTGTCAACACTGGCTGCAGGCCCTCCGGACCCAGGCTCCACAGGAGGTGCTGCTGGCGGGGAATCAAACTGAAGTGGGGCAGGAACAACAGAGACAAAGTAAAGAGAAGGTTCCAGATCGAAGTGTACAAAGGGCACAGAGATAGCAGGTGTCAGAAAGCAGCAGGTATGTTTTGCAGCTCACGCGTGTACGCGTGCGAGGAAACTAAGCCAATTTCTAAGAACTCAAAGAAGCTAGTTTCACATAAAAATAAACAAGGGTATCAGGAGCAAATCCCTTACAAAATTACCGCAGAGAGAAGGAGCAGCAGAACCCCCTTCCCTACAAAAAAGGAAAGCACGCCAGAAGGAGAACTCTAAGAGGGCCCCAACTGCTGCCTAATAAACAGACAAGGCAAACAAGATACAACGTATGGTGGGCCCCCGAAAAACTAAACCAAAAGAAGGGAAGAGGGAAAATAGTAAAAACTGTAATTAAAAAAACAGCTTTCCCAATGTTATTTTTTAAATTGAAACCACAGTGCTCAGAGGACACACAGCTCTGTAGACACCTGAGAGTTACCTGAGAATGTCAACTCATAGGGGCCAGCACCAAGCTATATTCAAGTAACACGATTAAATTAAAAAATAGAAGAGATTCTTCGACTTCCAGGAAAAAAGAGCTTATTACGTAGAGAAAAGAAACTTAGATGATATTTGCACAACAACATGTTATGCCAAAGATAATATAAAGATAGTCAAGGGAAACAGTGAGCCAAGGATTTCATGTCCAGTAAAACTGACCTTCAAGTTGAACAGGGAACAGATACACTAAGAAACATGCAAGAAGACAGGGCGACTGTCTTCACGATCCTCCCTGAGGAACCTAACAGAGGGTGACATTGTGACAAAGCCAGAGACACACGGAGAGGCCTGGTGACAGCTTTAAATATACACGTACTTATGGTAAGAAGATTAAGTAAGGATTAGGGTGGAAGAATCACATTACGTAACAGCTGTGTGATATAGATACACTAAAATCATTTTTCAAATGAGAAGAGGAATGGGAACAGTGTGCATAAAGAAATTTTAATACTGTTTCTGGGAATCAGAATTGATAGTGGCAGAGTTAGTAGGGCTCCGGGCCAATCGTCAGCTCTGTACTGGACTTACTGAAAGACCAAGGTGCTTGCTTTCCCGAGGAATTTTCAATAGAAATGCAAAATATTCTATTTTTTCTCATATATCTTTACCCTGCACATTTTTAGGCGTGTCAAAAGATACTTGGTTTAGATATGCTCATGAGAACATGTCCACGATAACGTTTATCATTGAGGCGGTGGTTGGGGGTAAAGCAGCGCAGTATGACCTCATTTACTTGCATGTGCACCACAGTTATGGTTGTAGCTTTTGAATGGAGGAGAGAGCATCAAAGACTTTTCCTTTCTCTGTATTTTCTTTCTGAGACCATATGCAGCCCTGGGCAGCAAGAACTTCTGTTTAAATCTTTGCCTGGTGGGGAAACTCAGCGTATGACGAACGAGACACGTGGCTACTGAGCACTGAGAATGTGGCCGGTCTTACCAGAGGAGTGCTGAGCTTGTAACACGTGCCTCGGTTTTGTAAGACGCTATGAAAAAAAAGGAAAGGACATCCATTTCTAAATATCGGTTACATGTTAAAAATGGTATTTTGGACATGCTGAATTAAATAAGATCTACTATAAAGTGAATTTCATCCATATTTTCCATTTTCTAATGTGAAGACCAGAGGGCTTTAAACCACGTATGTGCTTTGCACTACCCTGCTGCTGGGCAAGGCTGCTACAGGGGCCTCCTAAGAGTGACTCTGCTGAAAAGGGGGCCTCGTAAGCATCAAGCATTAAGGGGATATGAATTAAGGTTTCCCACCCTTAAGAAAATGATGATGCAGCAGGAGGCCGCGGGGTGGGCGACCACCCGAGGGACACCGTCGCCCGCCACGGGGAGAGCAGGGTGCCCGCGGCAAGGAGTCCGCGCGTCTGTCTTCTCGGCAGCCCGGAGGCTAACGGAGCTGGGCGCACAGCGGAGCCCACGCTCACGCAGCCCTGAGGACCGAAGGGGGCGTCCAGCTTCTCACACTCTCGGATGAAGGAAGTCTCCTCGGGGAACGCAGACGGACGCGGCAAGGCAGGGGCATCGCGTGTGACTCCCGACAGCTAACAGCAGAAGCCGCTGCGCTGTCACCTACACAGCATCTTGTCCTTCCAAAGGACAGAGCGAGCGCCACCTCACAGCGCCAGAGGGTACGGACCTGCTCCTGTTCGGCAACACCGGTATCTGTACCCAAGGCTCCCGCCGCAGCAACAGTCGCCCATCACCTCCCTCCCTTACCACTATCACCAAAAGCCGCCCGGTCACCTAGGAGGGGCCTTCTCATTCCTCGGTCAATGTTTCTGAACATGTGATGCCCGAGGCCATGGCCGCCACGCTGAGCGGGAGCCTTTTTAACATGC